TTAGAGGTGAAAGGCCGGGCTTAACTATGGAACCAAATATGCTCTAGGCCAGTAATTCTCAAATTCTTTGGGCTTGGAATCCCTTTATATTATTGAATTGTGCTTTTATCCTTTTATATTATTAAGCTTGTGTTTATGGGGATTTTAGCTACTGATACTTAGAAATTCAAACTGAGAATTTTTAAAAGTATTCATTAAAAAACAATAAATCTATATGTTAAATGATATATAATATTTTATGAAAAATAACTGTATTTTCCAAACAAAAACGATATTGGTGACTAAAGTGGCATGTTTTACATTTTTGCAAATCTAACATTTATCTGAATAAAAGAGAACTGGATTCTTATATCTGCTTCTGCATTCAATCTGTTGAAATATATTGTTTTGGTTGAGGTATAGGAATAAAGTTCAGCCTCACATGGATAAATAGTTGGAAAAGAAGTATTTCAAGAGCTTTTTTCAGATACTTGTAGATCTTCTTTGATACTATACCAAAACTTGACAAGTGGTGATTCCTAAAGGTTAGGTGTAGTAAGAAATCTGAAACCATATCAGTGAGCTTTTCCTACTCTGTTACATTAAAATCCAATGGTCATCTTGCACTTTGAATGAATTTTTTTTACACACGTATGATTTTGTAACATTGTGTTTGGTCATTTGGGAAACATTGGTTCATTGAATTATGCAAATAGTCTAAGTGTTGACACATTTCATTTTACAGTACCATAAAATAACATTCGTTAATATCAACATCAGTGTCATCAGAAAGGTTTTACATATTGGAAAGCTGCTAAGCTCCCAGTGGCAGATACAAGTTTTCCAAAATTCTGCTTTTGACTTGAAAGCTAGATTTCTGTCATTGGCAACAAACATGACAAATACCGTCAGTTGCTTTCCTTGAAATGACAGTCTTATTTCATTCACGACTTGAGAAAATGTCTGCCAAAAATCCAAGTCCAAGTAATTCTTTCAACTAAAAATAGCATTTGAGCAAAAACAGAGAAAAAAGATGTGTCTAGTTCACCTGGCAACTCAGTCCCACGAGTGCTTCCCCTCAACAAGCATCACACCTCCATAGGCTGCAAAGGCTTTTATGTGTCCCTTCGCTCTCATAAAACAGAAAACTTAAAAGAAAAGATGTGCATTCAAGGGTCAAGGTTTAATCAAATTAATCATTTTACTGCTTCATCTTGAGTGAAACTGTTTTGTTTTGTTTTTAACTGTATGTGATGCTCCCTTCATTCATACAAAAGCAGCTTTACCCACCATCGCTCTTAGATCATCAGTGCAAATGTCAACGAAGTGAAAAAGGGAAATAAAGTGTCAGTATTCTTCAAAATAGTTCTGGTCTTGTGGACTCCACCCACAAGGATCTCAGGGTCCCCCCAAAGTCCCAGATTACACTTTGACAACCACAGTGGTGGACAAGCATATGGCCACCATCCCCTTTACCTCGGCACCAGCTGCCCAGACAAAGGGAGACTTATTGAAGACAGAGACCCCCCCCCCCCCCCTTAAACCTACTGGGGCAACGAGGGCTTTGATTTAGTGCGCGGTTTTGCTGGACAAGCATATGTGAACTAGACTTTCTGTCCAGTTGGCTTGAAGGCTTCCCAGTCTTTTCTTTCTTTTATATGTGACTTGAAACTTTTAATGTCACATTTATAGTTGGCTTGACTGCCCCAAACAAAGTGTTGTAAACTTTCCCCACCAATTGGCCATAGCTACAATTGGTGTTTTCACTTTAGAGTTTGAAGAATAGGCATCTGTGTTCTGGTCCTGATTCGTGAATACAGCAACCGTTCCTCAAGCTCACTTTCCATGTGTGAGAAAAACCTCTTTTGACATTTCTCCCATTTTCAACTATCTCTCAAGACAAGCTGTTAGTCTCTAAGGACACTTGTTGTCTGCCACAAAGTATCCAATTCAAACATTGCATCGTTGTCTCCTTTGTTGAGGTCTGCATTTTGTCTGTCAGGTTTTTTTTCTTCTTTTCCTTCTGGAGCTGGAAACCAGGCAGTGAGAGGATGACAGGTTCTAAAAGGTCATATTTGAATAAAGAATTGTCTGTGTGCACTTTTCTTCAGAGTTGTGTGTTTTAGTAAAGGGAGCGCTCCTGCTGGCCAGACCTGTCTGAAAGTTCCATTTTCTTTACCACTCAATTTCTTGGCTTTTACATATGAATCCCCTGAATCGATAATAGATTGTGGCAGAAAAAATAAACGTAGGTCTCTTCTGCACCTTTAACTGTCCAGAGAGAAAAGTTACTTTATAGGTAAAACGTGCATCTTCTCTGCTGTCCCTTTTCTTTATTAGGAAATGATTTTCAATGTAGTTTATACAAGGTACCATTAAGGCTAATTTTCTTTTTCCTAAAGGAAGAAGTAAAGTAAATACGATAAAGAAAAGAATAACCCAGAACACTGATTGGGTTCCAGGGAATGTTATCAGCATCTTAATAGTCAAGAATTTTCAGTTGCATGTGTGACTGATTATTTAAACCAAGCGCTGCTGTTCACTCCATACAGTGAGTCTAACTGTATTTTCTGAGTCACCATTGTCGGCAGAGGTTAGTTTAAACCGTAGCGGATGCAAGAAACCCTGCTGACTCTCTCTTCACACGACGTCACCGGCTTTGAGAGGTGGGCAAAGTTTTGCTAGTTCAGGGACCAACCCCCTCTAAGAAATTTCTGTATTTAACTCTTAGGTTAATGCACGCTCTGTGGGAGAAGACCATTGTTGCACTCATTTCTTTTGCTTTCCCATCCTTTCATGCTTGTATCCGTTTTCTCATGATTTAAAACAAATGCCCAGAAACCCAACAGTCAAGGCAGAACAATTGCGGGCTTTCAGTGTTCAGAAGGCACCGCAATCACTGAAATAACGCCGCGTTATTACCAAACAAAAAACAAAACCACACGCCAAACCATACATATTGACTTTCTCAAGCCACAGGATCAGTCGGAGGTGGTTTGCTTTTTGCTCTGCAGATCACGTGGTCAGGACTGCCTTGCTGCAAGACGCTGGATTTTTGTTTTAAAACCTAGTTCTTACTGAGTCCTTCTCTCTCTCTCTCTCTCTCTCCCTCCCTTCTTCCCTCCCGAAGAATAATTACAGGCTGCAAAGTAAAAAGCATTAGAACTGTTTACAAAACAGCTCAAAAAGTTTAAAATAATAGGGGCGTGTGTGTTTGTGTAAAGCACGATAATGTGTATGGCAGGGGGAAACGGTACACCGTCTTTCTTCATGCTTCTTTCGCTGCCCCGTGTCACCCTCCAGAATTTAAGGCGCAGAAGGGAGCCATGGAGTCCCTCTCTCCTTCTGCTTTGCAGTCCTCACACTTCATCCGTGATGCTTACTTATCTGATACCCGTTTATTGTTGAGCATCAAAATACAGACCCTCAGGTGTGTGGGGACAGAGTGGCTGCTGGAGCGGGCTGCTATCTGATTAATTTTAGGGCAGTCGAAATTCCCATACAGATGCTCCCTCATGACATTCAAGAGAAAGACGGTGTTTTTTTTTTTTGAGTTTTTTTAATGAGCCCTTTGCTATCTCTCGGAAGTCCAAGAGAACAGCTTTCAGCAGGTTAGCGTTCTAAAGTGAAAGGGGCATTTTTCCAACCCTTTCCAGTCTCCTCCTGTGCAGATTTGCAAAGACTTCACAGTGTCCCCCTCCAGATTTGATTTGATTTGGGTTTTTTTTAGGGTGGAAGGGTCGTCTCTAACCTCCAGCCTCAGAGCCCATCAGTCATGTTGCTTTGCAGGTCGAGATCTGCTGCGGCAAAGCCAAACCTCGGTGCTAGCAGCGCTGCACCGGCTCTAGACGGTAGTGAAGCTGGTGCTGACAGTCGGAGGAGGGCTGTGTCCCCTTAGGCGCCGATGCGCTGGGGACGAGGGCTGGGCTGAGGGACCAGCCCAGCCGGGAGGAGGCATCCCTTCCCCCGGTGATTGATGAAGGACAGTTAGGAGCTTTTCGGAGGCTGGGAAAGCTTGTCCTCCCAGCCCCTTACTATGAAGTCTTTGTCAGCAAAAGGAACTCTCCTGGGCAGTGAGTGACTTCATGCAAATGACAAATGACAGCTTTGCGTTTCATTCTGCTTGATAAGTACTCAATATCGTACGCAGGTGAGTTAACGCTCCCCAGATGCAAACACTCCAGTGCAAACACTCCAGTGCACTGTGGTTTCACAGGCACTGCTGGTTCTTCCTTATTTGTTTTCTTGGGGATGTTTAAAGTACTACTAAAGTGTGAGCAGGGATGATACCCAGATCACCGTGTTTATGATTATGAAATGAAGATATTATTCATGTCATTTGTTAGCAGTTCTGAATGTTGTTTCTTTCTGTCTCTCCCTTTTGGAGTACCGATTTTAAAAATTATATCAATATATTTGTATAGATATGATTTATATATTACATTTCTATTTATTATATATAAATATATAAATCATATCTATACATATATATTTATGCTGTTTCAAGAGACTCTTTCAGACCAAAAATCTGTGTCGAAATCCTTGACTGACGTTTCCTTTTGTATTTTTTCTCACCCTTCCAGGACCCCATCTGCAGATGTCCTGAATATCTCTGAGTATAGCAATTGATTATTCAACCAGGATACCTAATTCAAGGTATTAGCTCTTGTCAGAAAGCTTTTACATCTGAGCTCTGTGTTGGAAATTCTATTTTGGCAATGAATTTTGAAACCAGAAAAGTTGGAATGAGAATAAAGGACAAAAGTGAATTTGCAAAATAATCAAGCACTTAAAAAAACGACCTGACGCCTGGTAGGGTTTGCCGCTTCTGACTCATGGGAAGCCCTTTCTCTGCCAGTTTATGTGCCAGTTCTCGCTGAGTTGTAGTCCTTTTTCTGCAACTGTGTCTGGGGTTTGGATTTCATTTTCATCTCTCGCTCTCCCTTTCTCTCTGACTGCCCAGAGCTGCAGGAACCAGGAGACGGACATTTTGTCAGTTTTGCAACATTGGACCAAGCACAATGAAGTATTCTTGCTGTGCTCTGGTTTTGGCTGTGCTGGGCACACAGCTACTGGGGAGCCTCGGTTCAACCATCAGATCCCCGAGGTTCAGAGGCCGGATACAGCAGGAGCGAAAAAACATCCGACCCAACATCATTCTCGTGCTCACTGATGATCAAGACGTGGAGTTGGGTGAGACACTGGGTTTGTCGCTTGTTGGTCTCTTTCGCTCAAATGATTTGCTGGCTTGCGTTATCAGTAACAGTCAGTTAACTTTTGGGGGTTTGACACATAATGGTAGTACCTGAACCAACACCCTAGGTTATAAAATGTACTCTTATTAATGATAAAGCATTTGGTTTGTGTTTCAACTTGACTCTTCTGATCTTAAGGTTTTGAAACTGGGGGTGGGCTGGGAGGATGGGAAGATGGCAGGCGAGAGGAAGCAGAAACTGTAGACGTCAAGTGTTGGATCGTGCGCCTTGGAAAACTCTTGGTCCAGAACTTTTCAAAATATTTGGGCAAATTTGTTTCAAAGAGTATGAGATTATGACTGTAATTCTCTGCCCTGCATATGAACATAGGTGGATACAAAAGGAACTTGTCAGGGCTTTCCTGGTGGCACAGTGGTTGAGAGTCCGCCTGCTGATGCAGGCGACACGGGTTCGTGCTCCGGTCCGCGAAGATCCCACGTGCCGCAGAGCGGCTGGGCCCGTAAGCCATGGCCGCTGAGCCTGCGCGTCCGAAGCCTTAAAAAAAAAAAAAAGAACTTGTCGATGGTCACTATTATTAAGGTGATTCCTTTATTCACAGCTTGTGATTGTTAGGGAATTGAAAGTTACAGTATTCTGCACATCCTCCCGGTAGTAATTCACTGCTACCACCCTAGACAGGATGCTTTTCTGAAGAATTCGCTCTCCTGGGTTAATTCTAGAGCACTTAGAAAGCCTGCCAACATCTGGTGTTTCAGCTGAGCTTCTGTATCACCTGATTTGGTTTCTCACCTTCTCACTTTCTTTAATGGCCCAGCCCTATGGTCTTGCCCATAAGCTTAGGGTCAAGTTCTTCTAGGGTACCTAGGACAAATGAAAATCTTGCCCTTACAGGTTGTCACCACCACTCATTTCCATTCCTGGGTGCAATTCCTTGCTCTCAGGAATTGCTCAGCTAGGCTTATCCATCACGCTGAACTTGACGGTCGCTAGTAGCTTTTAGACTTCCTGCTAGCAGAGCACCCTGGGCTTCTTTCCAGAGCTCCTCTGGCTAGGGTCTTTGAGGATAAACCCCTCCAGGCTGGAATTCGATCCACAGGGATAGGGACTTTGATTTCCAATTGGAAACCAAACCCTGGAATCCCAAAAAGTCAACTCTTTGGGTTCAGCTGGAAACAAAGGCACTAAAAGCCAGCAGAGGTAATGATTGTTGGAGGTGACTTGCAGAGTCTGTTGTCTCTCACTTAACTGCTTATTTTTAAATTTTTATTATTTGGTTACGCCGGATCTTAGTTGCGGCTGGCGGGCTCCTTAGTTGTGGCACGCGAACTCGTAGTTGCGGCATGCACGTGGGATCTAGTTCCCTGAGCAGGGATTGAACCCTGGCCCCCTGTATTGGGAGCGCAGAGGCTCAACCACTGCGCCACCAGGGAAGTCCCTCTCACTTAATTGCTTAAGCAAGACCATGGATTTTCAGGCATCATGCCAAAATGAAAAGTCTTGCAGGTATGACTTTAGTATGTATGTGGCTGGTGGTTTAAGTTTTCATTCACCTACAGGGCAAGTAAAGTGAAGACCCTTGAATTCATCTCCCTTAACATCTCTCATATCCATCCTTTGCAATGAAGCCATTCTCTTCTCTCCCAGTTTTTCCCTAACTGGTTGGTCACATGACCTGTGCCCTCTAGTCTTGGCCCCTCCTACCTATTCTTCATTTCCTGCAAGTATCTGATCAGGTCTCTGCTGCTTAAAACCCTCCACCGGGTTCCTTTACCAAGAGGATTAAGCCCCTCCCCTCTGCAGGCTGATGAGCGCCGGGCATCTGTCCCTACCTATTTCTGTAAGGCTATTTCCCTTTCCCTGACTTTTGCTCTGTGCTCCATGGAAACAACTTACACTTCCCTGAAGGTGTCTGGTGGTTTCATCTCCCTCACCTATATTTCATGCCTTTGTACATCTCATCCCCTCTGCCCTTTCCCCATTTTTCCACCTGGCGAAGCCCTACCTATTCTTCGTGACCCAGTCCTGATGCCTCCCCCTTGGGGGGGGGTCTTCCTTTACCAAAACGATCCTACTGTCCAGCAGCGTGGAGGGAACTTTCCTTTGCACCACCTTGGACCTGCCTCCAGCGTATGACCCTAAATCCACCGTGTGCTTCCATACCTGTCTCTTCCACTTAACTGAGAGCAACTAGAGGGCAGGGTAGTGTTTTATTTATGTTGCAGTCCTGATGCTGGGACTGTGCTGGGAATCTAGTAGGTGCTCAGTAAACTGGAAATGGACCCACAGGGGCCTGAAAAGGCTAACACAATTCCCAGAAATGAATGCAAGTATCCGTCATGATCTACCTCTTCAATATACAACCCTTGTCTTTAAAATAAATTAAGGAATTGTTTGATCAGTGTATTTTTAAGAGTTCAAAATTTCATCCTTATCCTATAGTTAATGAATTCACTCAGTAGATATTTATTAAGCAGTTATTAAACACTGGCTTCTAGTGGAAGCACATGGATATAATGGTGAAGAGTCGTCGGCCAGGTTCAATCAACCCAGCTCTTTCCTACATGTTTGCCTTGCCTTTACTTCCTTCCTTGATTTCCTACACAGATACCAGGCTAAGCATTCACTCATTTAATCATCACAGTCGCTCTATGAAGTGGTTACTGTTACTCTCTTCAGTTTATACTTAAGATAAATGAGGCTTAGAGAAGTCACATAGGCTGTGATGAGCTAGGAAATGGTAAACTCAGGACCTGTATTAGGGCTGGGTCTCCACAGCTACACATTTAACCATGATTCCTTCCCTCAATCTGTCCTTCAACAAATATTTATTGAGCCCTTCCTAAAACAACCTGTAAATACATGGTCACGCCCTAGGTTCCGAGAGAGCAGCTAAGATGGGTCTTGTTATCCTACTGGCAGAACAAGTTGATGATGAACCACTGTGAACCATGGGTAAAAATTTAGAGAAGACTTCTTTTCTCAGCAGAAAAATTATGCTCTTGGTAGTGGGTACAGTTTGATGGAGATTTTTGCCTGGCCGATTGTAACACTCTCATAATCTTTCTTGACACTTAACTGCTCTAGACTTTAGTTGGCTTTTGTGTTTTTTTAATCATCTTAACCAATTTTTTTTTTTTTTTTTGGCTGCGTTCCGTCTTCGTTGCTGCGCACGGGCTTTCTGTAGTTGCGGCGAGTGGGGGCTACTCTTCGTTACAGTGGGCGGGCTTCTCATTGCAGTGGCTTCTCTTGTTGCGGAGCACAGGCTCTAGGCGCACGGGCTTCAGTAGTTGCAACACGCGGGCTCAGTTGTTGTGGCACACAGGCTTATTTGCTCTGCGGCATGTGGGATCTTCCTGGACCGGGGATCGAACTCGTTTCCTCTGCATTGGCAGGCAGATTCTTAACCACTGCGCCACCAGGGAAGTCCTCTTCTTAACCATTTTTAAGTGTACAATTCAATAGTGTTAAGTATATTCACATTGTTGTGCAACCAATCTCCAAAACTCTTTTCATTCTATAAAATTAAAACTCTATATCTATTAAACAGTAACTCCCTAAACCCCCAGCCCTTGGCAACCACCATTCTACTTTCTGTCTCTATGAACTTGACTGCTCTGCATACTTCATATAAGTGGAATCATACAGTATTTGTCTTTTTGTGACTGGCTTATTTCACTTAGCATAATGTCCTTCCTCACTGTTCATCTGTGTTGTAGCATGTCTCAGAATTTCCTTCCTTTTGAAGGTTAAATAATATTCCATTATATGTATATCCACCCTATGTTTATCCATTGATCTCTTGTTAGACATTAGTGGTGCTTCTGCTTTTTGATTATTGTGAATAATGCTACTATGAACACAGGTGTATAAATGTCTCTTTGAGACGCTGCTTTCAATTCTTTGGGGGTATATACCCAGAAATGGAGTTGCTAGATCATTAGGTAATTCTATTTTTAATTTTTTGAGGAACTGCAATACTGTTTTCATAGCGACTGCACCATTGTCCATTCCCACCAACAGTACATAAGGGTTCCAGTTTCTCCACATTCTTGACAATATTTGCTGTTTGCTGTTTTTTTGATAATAGCCATCCTAATGGGTGTGAGATGTTCTCTAATTGTGGTTTTGACATGGTTTGTTTTGGTTTGATTTTTTACTTACATGTGATTATGTTTGCCAAATATTGAACAAATCTTCACCTAAGCAAAACTTTTGCACTGTAACACTGCAGGCATTTTGGCTTCTGTGCCTCCAGAAGGATATAACAGACTTAGAAAAGGCTTAGGAAAACAACTACAAAAATTGTAATAGAATACTTTTCCTTTTGGGAAAGAATAAAACAATTGTATCTCTTTGTCTGGAAAGACAAAGGCTAAGAAGGATTGTAATCCAAGTTTATGAAACAAGCTGGGAAGGAAAGCTCTTATTAAGTAGGACTGGGGCCCCTCCCTCAACTTTGAGGACAAATAAAGTAAACTAGTCCTTTGTGAAAAGAGTGAAACACATGAGGCATTTACTAATAAAAGTGCTAGAACCTCATATGTGAATAACACTTTATCTTTTTCCAAAGAACATTTATTCTCATTATTGCATTTTATTGTCATCTCACCCAAGTTGGGTGGGTAGAACAGAGATCATTATCCCAGGAGAACACTTGATCCATGGAAAGATTAAGTAATTTAACCAGCGGTCCCTGTACTTCTGGATTTGCTGTTTCCACAACTTGAGAAGTGGTTCAGGTTATGCCTCTCCCTGTAAATAGTTTAGGTTTTTAGGCGAAGTTAATGGGTGGAGATTTACACCTTTTTAAAAAGACTTGAAGTATAGTTAGTTTACAATATTCTGTTAGTTTCAGCTGTACAGCAAAGTGATTCAGTTATACATACATATATATCTATTTTTTTCAGATTCTTTTCCCTTATAGGTTATTACAAAATATTGAGTGTAGTTCCCTGTGCTATACAGTAGTTCCTTGTC